AAGTGATGGGGAGATATGGGAGGAGTTGGAGGGGAGGGAGTGGGTGTGGATGTGATCAAAACAGGTCATATGCATGTATGGAATTCTCAATCTTTTTTTAAAAGTTAAAAATAATAATGAAAAGCTGGGCATGGTGGCACACGCCTTTAATCACAGCACTCAGGAGGCAGAGGCAGGCGGATCTCTGTGAGTTCAAGGCCAGCCTGGTCTACATAGTGAGTTCCAGGACAGCTGGAGCTACAGGGAGACTCTGTCTCCAAAAGACCAAAAAAAAAAAAAAAAAAAAATCAATATTTTGAAAACCTGATTTCCAATTATCTTCTGTACTGATTAAGAGTAACAATAATTATCAGAAAGAGGAGCTTCCCCAGAGACGGCAAACTGCAATTATATATCTGTTAAAATTTCCCTTTTGGGTTTTTAAATTGTTTTTTCATATTTTATTATTTTTATTTTATGTGAATGAGTGTATTGATTGCATATGTGTAAGTGCATTTGTGTTATGCAGTTTTCTTTCTTTATAGCTGGTTTTACAATTGGTTTCATGGCTCAAGAACTACTCAGCATTACAAGCTATTTATACTTGAAACAACCCAGCATGGCTATGCCAATGATACTTTATGCCATGACTCTGAAATTAAAGAGTGCGACTTTCTCTTCTGTGTTTTTAATCCCATGGGATTATATAGAAAAACTTGTTCCTCAATTTTCCCAGAAGTTGTTTTTATACACTTAAAAGAAAATTAAACTATGATTATTCCTGAAAAGTACCACTTTGCTATCAAATTAGTATAGGAGGGTTTTGACAACCCTATTAATCTCCTGTAAGATTTCTAAGTAGGCTGGGCATGGTGTGCACACCTTTATTCCCAGCAGAGGCAAATGGATCTGTGTGAGATCAAGGCAAGCCTGGTCTATATAGGGAGTTCTCACCAGCTGGGGCTACAAAGTGAGATTCTGTTTCAAAATAAACAAAACAAAAACAATTTCTAAAAAAGGAGCAGCAATCCAACAGGAAAGGGAGTTAGGTATAAACATAAGAAAATACATGAAACAAGAAAGAAGAAAAATAAAGAGGCAAAATTCAAGCAGTTGTACTTGTAATGACATTCAATGTAAATGGCCAGAGCTGCTGTCTTAAAATGAGAGCACATGAAGAGGAGGAACAGGTTGGAAGCCAAAAGCAACATCCTTAGTTGTTTCCATTAAGTGTGGTTATCATGTCCACATCACATGACATGTCCTTTAGAAAAAAGAGTGAGCAGAGCAAAGGAAACATGAAGTTAGAAAATAAGCCGGAGTGAGTGGAAAATGACTCACCCACATAATTTAAAGATTAGTTTTTTCATCCACCGTAAGTATATCATATAGTCTTCTTCATTATGAATACTCTGAAAACATTCTTAATGTTCCTTCTGCTCAAAGAGGCTCATTGCATTTTCAAGCACCATACAATATCTATTATTAATTGAAAATTACCTTTCGATCCAACAGGATATTATGAGGAGACAGTGCCCGGTGTACTATACCATGTTTGTTCATGTACTGCAAGCCCTGAAGTACTTCAAATGCTATGCACAAAACCTTTGAATGGCTACAAAGAAAATAAAGTCAAACATTAATTACAAAGCAAACACAGAACCTGTTTTAAAGAGATGAGACCTAATAAAAGCATTCAGATGGTAATATTTTTATTCCACCTCCTCCATTCAGAGAAAGTGGAATTTATATATTTTCTAAAATATCCACTTATATGTGTTTTGGCTTTCCTGATTATCAGAAAATTGATCTAATATAGAACCCTACAGTTTCCTAAAGGCTACTGTAAAAGCAGTATTCCTATCAATTCATAAAAAAAAACTTCCATGAATTTATGATTTATCAAACTCATCTTCTATTTATATTTTCAATTTTTTTATTTTTGAGAATTTCAAACATGAGTGTCATCTTTGCATTATTTCCATCCTTCCTGGTACCCCATTAACTCCTCAAGACTCTCCATTCCCTCTCAATTTCTTCTCTTTTTCTTTGATTATTACTGTTAGATATATATATACATACATACATTTACAAATATACATACATCTATAATGCACTTAGTTCATTTATTGTTTTAAAGCTCTTGTGTACCTGTGTTTAGGGAAGTCCACTGGATTAGATAACCTCTCAGGGAGCTAGTCCCTGGGGAAAACTGAGTCTCCCCTCCTCACCATCACTGATTGCCTGTAGCTCTATGTTGAGGTGGGACTCCATGATACTCCCTCATGCACCTTGTCATGTCAACTGTTTTGCCATTATGCAGATCTTATTAGACTACCACACTCTGGAGATTTCACTGGTGTACTTCCCTATCATGGTTAGAATGTTGAGGTGGGACTCCATGATACTCCCTCATCCACCTTGTCATGTCAACTGTTTTGCCATTATGCAGATCTTATTAGACTACCACACTCTGGAGATTTCACTGGTGTACTTCCCTATCATGGTTAGAATGCACTAATTAGCACTAGAGCAATTGTGTCTTTTTTTTCTTTATTTCTTTTTT